TGATTATTCAAGAATACAAAACATTTTTTTAAGTCGTGTTACACCAAGTGATTGAATAAAAGTATACCGGTTCGATTTATTGTATTATCAGGATTATAATGATCATCATTGTCATTAACTGTTATAATCAAAGCCTATTCATGGCTAAACTTAGTATTAAACGGTTCCATAAAAGATTATTAACATCCAACATAACATCAGAATCGTCGATATATATGGACATAGATATATATATCAAATTGGACTTTTTCTCAAAAACTCCACCTGGAGACCCTCTGGGGTTACTGCCGATCGTAAACTCGGATAAAAGAGGATGATTGGGTATAGGGGGTTAGCTAACCCATCTCGTAGAAAATTAACTTTTTCTCAAAGAAATATATCAATGATTAACTTACTAATTTAGATGGATTATAAATTAATAATACTTGACTAATTGATGCAGGTGGTAGAAATGTTGTATAAGATGGAAGATTTTGTCCAGATGCAATAAGTTGTCGTATTTTAAAAGGCTACAAGAGTAAATAGAATCAATACAAGTTAGTATCTATTTGTTCAACTTAGCATAGCAAATTTTCAATTGAAACTATAGAAAAGAATTTACTTGAAATACAGTGCAAAAATCATCCGATTACAATTGACTTGATCAATGTTTTAGTAAAATCTAAGAACCATACCATAAATACTTCATTTACAAAATGTCAATTAATTGTCCTAGACTTCATTGTTCCTTTGTTTCTGATAAGTCTTGTTAATTTGAACACTTTATTCGGTTGCTAAGCTATTCTGGTAACCCTCAAGCTAGAACTACGCAGAGACCTGAACTCAAGAGAAAAGGCGCAAAATAAGCGAAAACAGTTTACCCAAAGGGTTCATTTTTGTACAGAAAAACACGGGTATTTATAAATGTTAACATTTGTTAAATCAACATCATATTTTGGCCAATCCGCTAAAAAATATATTATGCTACTGATCAATAGCAGCACGCCGCGTTGATATTCTAGAAAACACCATCATGCTCTGATTGGCTAGGACTTTTCGGCTCCGTTGCAGTTCTTGGAAAGCCGACTAAACAGTTTCCATAGTAATCGTTCTCTGTTCTCGTTCTCTTTCCTTCGACCATTTTTAACTTCCGGCCACTAGGCTTTTTACTTTCGATTGATGATATATACTACTTATATCTATCGACATCAGTAGCATACACCACAGTAGTAGTGTACTTACCCATTGTATGTTTGTAAACATGTGTTAAGTTAGATTCGTTTATTCACCACGTACTTATGTATGAGCCACATTCGAAGTATGAGAGCTAATAATACTACTTGGTTGCTTAAACTCAAGTGAGTGAGACATGGTTCGAACCTAAAACTTAGTGGTTGAAATTCGATTGTTTTTTAAAATAATATGTGTATTGGTGAACGATGATAAATTGCATTTTTATTTTTGACATACATTTACTTGTGTTTCTTGTGAAATTTATACGAAAACAATACACCTTTTTCGAAGGTTTAATAAACATTATAGAAGAATATGGTATTTCATGTCTAACAACGATGTAAAACGTAAACATATAAAATCATCGTAAAATATCCTGATATCAAATTAACAGAATAGCTAATCAAAGAAAACAAGACATAATTGGCTTTTAAAATATAAATCATCATAGTCATAAACATCATAATCAGAAAACGAGAAAACAGTTGTTTCGTGTGTGCGACACAAATTGTTACTAATAATTTTCCATCATTGAATCGAGTCATCATACTGACACCACAAACAGGATATGTTTATATCTTCCAGCACGACTTCATTCGACAGTCATTAATTTCATGGATTGATGTCACATATTTGTTGGACTGTTCCTAGTATTCCAGTTTACCTTACATGAGATATCAACAGGTTTAAGTATTTATTTATTTATTTAAACACAAAAATTAGTGCAAACATTCACAAAAATATAGATGCATCACACAAATTATCGAATTTTTGTTTAGGCTGAAATACTGTGCCCAAACAGGAACAGGTGGTTTTTTTAGGGGGCGATTCCCCGATTATTTGACCTAGAAATCTTATCCACAAGACAGTGGAGCAACGTTAGGAGATGCAGTCACATGGTAGCCAGCGACCAACAATAGATTCATATGCCATTAGTTCCCTCAGAGTCCTGGAGTCTATGTGCACTGCTGATTTAGAGTCGGGGTTTCCTAACTTGTCTAGGTAGATCCTCTGTGGCAATCAGCCCGGTTTCAGTGCCGGACATTTGCTTTCCGTCCTCTCAATTTCGTAAACAACATCTGTCGCGAGAAGACATTGAATAGGACATCCTTGGCAGTAACTGTATACGCGAGGTCGTGTGAGAGCATTTCAAAAGAGAGAGAGGAATCTCCCCACACTCAGGCGTACCAGTGTATTTGGGGTTCAAGTATACTATCATCTGATGTTGTTTGATGTGAACAACTTACATTCTTTTTCGTAAGCATTATGAGAGTGATGGATCAGTCTCTAATCACTAGTTTCAATTTAAAGGCCAATATATTCATATTCATGCCCCCCCCCAAATGCTGAGAGTGGGGAGAGTCAGCTCTTCTGCTCTAAATGCTCTAACATGGCCACATGCATACAACCACTGCCAGGGAAGTCCTACTCCTTGCCTTCTCGCACCACAGAGGTTGTTTACGAACTTGAGGGGACGAAAAACGAATGTCCGGTGCTTTAACCGGGTTGGTGGACACGAAGAGTTCACCTAGAGGATTTGGAAAACCCTGATTCCAAACTAATGGTGTACATGAACTCCAGTATCCTGCAGGGACAAATGGCGTATGAACCAATCGTAGATCACCGGCTACCATGGGACTGCATCTCCTTATGACGCTCCACTGCCTTGTGAATCAAACCTTTAGGTCAAAGGTACTGTTATTTTAAGTATGAGTTAAAGTGTATTCATAAAATGGTAATTTTGATTGATTTAGTTAGTTAGTTAGTTAGCAATCAACGAATTTTTTCATTCAATTCACATAGTAACCTTTAAAAAAAGAAACAAATGAACATGAGATAAAGTAAAAGTGATGATATGTTAAGGTTATCAAATTCGATAGTGTTGAATTTTCTGAAATGGATAGTTCATTGTTGTTTTGAACAACATGAGAGCTTATTATAGGTAGAAGTGAGTTTGTTTGTTTGTTTGTTTAAAAACAAGAGTGAATATTGTCCAGTCATTCAACTATATCCTTCATATGATACAACATACCTAAAATTGTTTAGATGAAGTTATAAATCTTCATCATCAGATATCCATACTAACTATAGGACTAACAGTGAACATGAAATGTTGCATACAAATTATAAACAATAATTATTATTTAATCATTTATTTATTTAAAAACATAAACATTGGTACAAGGAGACACCAAACAGATATGCTCCACATAAATCATTCGGTTTATATGAGGGCTGGGATACTGATCGGGTGCCCAGACCGAAGTGGGTGGTTTTCTTAGGAGGCCACACCCGGAGCCTTTGATCTAAAAGCCTAATCCACAACGCAGTGGAGCAACGTCAAGAAATGCAGTCCCAACGATTAGTTCATACGCCATTTATTTCCTTAGGATCCAAGACCTCATGTATATCATTGGTTTGGAATCAGGGTTTTCCAAATCCCTTAGGTGGATACTCCATATCGACCAACCCGGTTAAAGCGTCGGACAATAACAATAATAATAATAATAGTGTTTATTAATAATCTCACCTTTTCAACACCAAATCTAACATTGATTTCAGTAATGGGTAAAACATTTCGACTAGATATAACAGCAACAAAAACCATCACTTCAGGATGTGGTTTATTATTAGCGTAATGTAGTGTTAATTGTATGTTATAAGTATTATCATTACTGTCATTCTCTTGTGATATATCAGTTGGATAAAGTGTCAATGGTGTTTTATGTATTGAATGAGGTTGAACAGAAGAAAGTTGAATATCAAATGATTTAAGATCAATTACACTTTGTGTTGTAACTTCTGATGGTGTTACTTCTTCCACTTTGTGATTATTACTGGTGGGAGTGTTATTCATGCTTACAACTACGTCACTAATACATAGGGATGTGTTATCATCATCATCATCACCATCGGGTTTTACTTTACTTGGAGAATTATTTGCTAGTAATATTGATAGATTTGTATCTGTCAAAGCATTTGTTCTATGTAGATATGAAAGAAACGTAAATAGAATATTAAAACTACATAAAAAAATCCATCATGTAAATATATTATTTTTTCCGAAATGATTTGTGATGTAATTACTTACGCCTATTACTCTTCGTGGAGGAGCATAGGCTATCCACAATCACTCTCCATTCAACCCTGTCCTAGGCAATCCTTTCTAGCTCTTTCCAGTTATTATTCATCTTTTTCATATCTGCTTCTATTTCCCTACCTAATATGTTCTTTGGCCTTCCACTTTTCTGCTTCCCTTCACGATTCGAAGTTAGGACTTGCCTCGTGATGCAGTTTAGTGACTTTCGTAATGTATGTCTTATCCATCGTTTTTCCTAATCTCCTCATTAGTTGGAAGATGGTTTGTTCTCTCCCACATTAGGCTGTTGCTGATGGTATCTAGCCAATGTAGACAATTATTTATAAATACTTGTACCTTCTTGATGATGGTTGTGGTAGTAGTTCTCCAAGTTTGAGCTTCGTACAGTAGAACTTTCTTGACGTTCGTATTGAAGAGATTTTTGACTTGGAAACAATTAATTATCATCGATTGATATTAGTTACAGAAATATTGATAACCAAGGGACACTTATTATCAATCTTATTAGATGATCTTTGTGCTACACATCATCAATTGAATGGATATATATATATGGATTGACTCAGTGATCTTGATATATCATGCACACAGTGAAGTCTGAAAGTTCTCAACTCGATACTGCGTAGAGTAGTAGTAGCACAGTTTGTGTAAACACTACTTGGAAGACATGAGCATACGAATACCAACAATTTACTCAGTCTTCCTGCTCTTAAATATCTTAAAGTAGTACAAATCAAACTATTATTCAGTTTATTCTCATATTTATTAGTAGATCGACATTTAACCCGAATCACATGTGGATTAGTTTTTTTTAAAACCGAACAAGCTTTTTTTGTCCATGCTAACAGATCCGACCAAACCCCCAAAGAATCAGAGCTGATGAGACTACAAACGCAATTGAACCAGTTAAACCGCTTGATAAATTTGCTTCCTAAGGTCATATTCGACATCGATAAATGTCATTCTCGAAATAACACTTTGTAATTGGTGGAAAAGTAAATCATTGCAAATACTCTAATAATCCTCCATGAAATAATCAAAAGATTACGGATCACCAAAATAGAAATACATCATTAGAATTACAATAACATGAAAATCAGATCGCTAAATAAAGGATTAACTATGAATAGGTGAGGTTTGATTTGATGAAAGAGGTCAGTGCAAAAAGAGTTGCATTACCACAAATCATACAAAGACTTCTCTCAATGTAAGGTGACAATATTTATTCATCAATTGTTTGTTCGGAAAATTTTGATTCAGCCTCTTTGTCGCTTTGTAGTACATCACCATCCATTTACACATGAATGGTCATCATCCAGGAAATAATAAAAAAGGATTTCTACAAATAGATAAAAACGCAACGAGCAACACTTACTTTGATAAGTTAAGCATTTGACGACTCAAACAATCTAGTTCACTGAAGACGTTGGGATTGGAATTTACATAAGATCCATGTTCAGGAGACAAGGATTGTTTCGAAGTTTTGGAGTCTACAGAACTGAATACTGATGGGTAAAGCGTTGACGAAGTAGAGAGTACTGGGAGGAAAGAGAAAAGTAAAGATTAAGAATTCTTATTAGTGTTAGTAGTAGTATAGTTCATTGAAATAATAATTAGCAAATGAAATTATGAAACATCATTCCATTTGAATATTATCAATATAAAAAAGTGATACGCATTAGAAACCAGTAAGAATTAGATATCCATCTCGTCCTCTTATAATACTCTAAAGCACAAAACTTGCAACTCAATTCCCGACATGCCCGAAAGTGTTTCCAATGGATAGAATAACCAAAAATGTTACGGTACAAAAATATCATATATTATGGTTTCTGACAATGAAGAACAACTTCATTTACAATCGGTTTAAGAAATCCTATGGAGTAAACAACATCATTTATGTCAGGTCCCATGTAATCCTATATGAATAGCTATCTGTTATGACTGAAATAGAAATTGATGTCATTCGACTAATGGAATAGAGAAAAGAGGATAGATGATAATTTATGATACACCAAAAACAAATCAATAACATCTTAGTCCCATAGGAACTTTGTCGCTCAGTGGTAATGCCTCAAACTGTATCTTAGAGATATAGGTTCGAATTCCACCCGGAGAGTTAGCCTCCTTAATATTCCAGGTAAGTCTATGTAATGAGTGCTAACTAGCATGAAACCTAGTTCCAAGGTTTTCTTTTCACTATGTTCCACCACTTAACAAACCAACAACACATCATGAATATAATCTTTTCTATATGATTAATAGTTCGAATTTAAATAAATTTAAACAAGTACCATTTACAACTGCTTAATATCAATAACTTACTGGATGAAAACAATTTATAAGTTTCATAAGATCGAAATTTTACAACTAACATGAGTAACTGAATACTGCAATTATATTGTTGTCAATAATAATAATAATAATAATAATAACAGCTGTTGGTACATAGCATAGTACCATTCAATTAAAATAGTTTCGCAGTAAATTATTAACCCATTCACAGTGTTTCTTATTTTTATTTATTTAAACATATAAACATTGGTACAAGGAGGCACCAAATAGATATGCGCCACATAAACCATTCGATTTGTGTGAGAGGTGATTTTCTTAGGTGGCCACACTCGGAGCTTTCAACCTAATGGTTTGATCTACATGACAGTGGAACAACGTCAGGAGATGCAGTCCCATGATAGCCGGTGAACAACGATTGGTTCATACACCATTTATTCCTTCAGAATACTGGAGCCCATGTACACCATTGGTTTAGAATCAAGGTTTTCTTACTTCCCAGGGTGGATCCTCCGTACCCACCACCAGTTAAAGCACCGGACATTCGTTTTTCATCCTTTCAATTTCGTAAACACCCCCGCCACGAGAAGGCAATGAGTAGGACTTCCATGGCAGTGGTTGTATGCATGTGGCCATATGAGAGCATTAGAAACATCTGCAAAATTATGATAGATTCTAATCGACCTCACACAAAATCTCCAAACAATGATTATGATAACCATGTGGATCCCAACACGGTAGTCACTACCCACATACATGGCTCGGTCCAATAGATTTTATGAACTGATGCTTTAATTTGACCCCCACTAGCTTTCTTCCGACCTACTCCGACACCATTAAAATACAGCGCATCGAGGCGGTTGAGCATAAATAACACAAACCTCAGTCACCTCTCAATGAATAAAACTTCACTACCTGATTAATCGATTCGAAATAAAAGGATACTAAAAAGAGTAAAAATATTAAAGAGACTTACCTGTTGACCCAGAAGTCGTCGTCGTAGTAGTAGTAGAAGTATTAGTAGCATTTGTAGAAAAAATATCCTGTAAGTCATCATAGTTTGATTTTTTCCTAATACCAGGATTATTACCAATAAAATTGTTACTATTATTATTACTACTGTTTAATGAATATTTTGGTTCAATTGGACGCGATACTTGATTACATGACGAATTATGAAGATGATTAACAAGAAATGAATTTGAAGTATTCAATAATAAAACATCTGGAGAGTATAGATTAGCATTAGACGATGGGATAGGTGTGATTGAATCATCACATAAGCCTAAATTCATTAAATCTTGTGTTAAAAGATCAGTAATATGATTAGATGATGACAATTGATTTTCATTTGATGATAATTGAGAAGAAGAAGAATTATCCTTAGTTATAGATGATGATTTTGATGAGGATAATGACTTTTGTTTGGCTATTTTTTGTTCATAATTTGCTAAAACTTCACTAGCTTTGTCACATATTTGACCAATTTCAGCTAAAAAAAATTTATAACCGAGAAAAAAAAGATATAAATGTAAAAATACATATACCATTATTAAGACTGATAACTAATTATTTTTCAGTCAGTCAGTCAGTCAGTAACAACGTAGAACTTCGTACGTACGTACATCAGTTCGAGTTGTCATGCCACATTAGCACAGAGATGCAGTTGTCGATTCAAATCCCGTAGTGATAGAGGGTAATAAGAGTCTAAGCAGTAATTGGAAAGATTAAGGTTTGAAGATGTTATTCAAGGAGTATAATCCAGTGAAACAATTGAAGCTAGAACATCATGAAAAACCTGAACAGCCGTTTCGTCTTGATGTGAGACTCCTCAGAAGTGTGCATCAACGATCCCGCCTCGCGAGACTTTAACCCAGAACCTATTGGTTTCCATAGTGGTCTAGCTTCAATTAACTCATGATATCAACTATTAAAATTATTGTTTACTTATTTCGTTAACCATATAAACATTGGTACAAAAAGGCACCAAATATACATGTGCGACACTTCATCATTTAATTTTTGTAAAGGCTGGAATACTGCCCGGGCGCCCGAATCGGAGCAGGTAAGCATAAATTAACCAGTTGAATTGAGAAATACTAACAGAAGTAGTTGGTAATAATTATAAAATGATGTGGAAAATAAACCTTTATCAAATAAGGACAAATCATCGATCAATCCTTTGAACATACAGTTATGATATCAGATGGAAGAGCTTAAAAGGAACGTATATGAGTTACAAGAATTGATATGTGTTAATAAAAATAAATATAATTGGTTACTGAGTATGGATAAACAGTCAGGTAGCTTACTGACGATTAAATATGTGATTTCCTTTCCTCCTGTTGACTTCTATTCCGGAATTACTGAGAGCGACTGCTTGTGATTGTGTGGAATAAAGTATTATCTAGTCCATATGGTGGTTCTTTATTTCGGTCGTGAATCGGGTATCTGATATAACCTAATCTATTCTCTGTATAAAGGATCTTTCAAGTATCCAATCTTTTGATAGTATAAACTCGGTCACTTAAACCAGTCTTATTGAGTTATAGTCGCATTATAATAGTGGCGTAGTATATTGTGGTGACAAAAATATTTTATTCCAACCGTTGTATCAGATACACCCACTAGTTGTTCATCATCTAATTGTGATCTAAATGAAACGACAATTATCAAAATGATAACTGACTGTTTTAAGCATTATTATCTAATCAGCTAATCAGTCTTCAATCAATTGAATTACATATTAGAACTATGGTTCGTCTACTTTGGTTTAACTAACCCGACAGTATTGCCATAATAACTTGTAGTACGAAATTAAATTGGAAACTTGTAGATACTTTGATGGAGTTCGGTTCACTGAGCTGGATGGTTTGGTTGTGGAGCTTTCATCGTTCCTCTGAACGACATCATCGGCACAAACTCCAGGGATATATATACATAATTTATGTGTATTAACTCATCAACTCAACAAATCTATTTATCTAAACACATAAACATTGGTACAAGGAGGCACCAAATAGATATGCGCCACGTAAATCATTCGATTTGGGTGTGGGCTGGGATACTACCCGGGTGCCCAAATCAAAGCAGGTGGTCTTTTTAAGGGGATTACACTGGGAGCCTTTGACCTAAAGGTCTAATCCACAAGGCAGTGGAACAAAGTCAAGAGATGTAGTCACGTGGTAGCCGGTGATCAACTACTGGTTCATACTCTATTTGTTCCCTCAGGATTCTGGAGCCCATGTGCACCATTAGTTCGAAATCAGAGTTTTCCAGCTCCCTTAGATGAATCCTCCATATCCACCAACTCGGTTAAAGCACCGGATATTCGCTTCTCATCTTCTCAATTTTGTAAAAAACACCCGTGGTACGAGAAAGCATTGAGTATGACCTTCCTGATAATGGTTGTAGGCATGTGGCCATGTGAGAGCATTTCGACAGGATGAGCTGACTCTCCCCACTCTCAGCTGTACCAGGGCATTCGACTACATCAACTCAATAGATTTAGATGAGTTAACGACCCAATAATTCATATGAATGTAAAACTATTTCCTAAATACAACTTAAAATTTGACAGAATATACAGCAATCATTATTTATTCCTCAAAAAAAAATAATTTCAATTTCTATAATTTGAAGAAGAAGAGGAAGAAAAAGAAAAAGAAAAAATAAACTTACTCAAAGTTTCAATATCTTGTTCTTCATGTGTTAAAGAGAAACTATATAATAATGGACGTGCTCTACGTATATTCTGTGTCAATTCCTGTATAAGAATTAAAAATAACGATAATGATGTATATGTACGTGTGTGACAAGTTAAGGATCAATTACGAAAGAATTACATGCTAATACAATTCACTGTACTATTAAATAATATCTCTAATGATTGCTTTAGTAAGTAAGTAAGTAGTTAATACATATATGCCGGTTGTTTGGATCTTCACATTGATGTATAGGTCTGAGATTAACCAGTCTTTTCTGGTATATATCTGTCCTGTGAGGGTTTTTTCGATGTCCCCATATAATTCACAAGCATTCTACACGGAGATGGATGATGGCTAGCTACATTGAACCCACCGGACATTGTAGCAGCACAAAGATCTTCCTATAGATGTCACTCCGCCTACGACAGCAGGAATCAGGATGGCTATCAGACTAATCAAAAGTAGAAAAGTAGAAGGACCTGACAATATACTAGTTGAAGCAATGAAGTCATACATAGAAGCAACAGCAAATATGCTCCAAGTTCTATTTAGGAAGATTTGGGAGGAAGAACAAGTGCCGGCAAACTGGAAAGAAGGATACCTCACCAAGACAATAAAGAAAGGAGATTGGAGCAAGTGTGCTGACTACAGAGACATCTCATTACTATCAGTGCTATGAAACATTTACAACAGAGTGTTGGTGAAAAGAATGAAAGATTAGGTAGACGCCCAGCTTCGAGACCAGTGAGCTAAATTCCATGAGGATCGATAACGTGCCGACAAAATCACCCCACAATGGGTCATCGTTAAATGTTCGATTAAATGGAACTCGTCACTATACATTAACTTCATTGACTGTGAGGTGTTTTACAGTATGGATATAATAACCCTAAATAAACTTCTTCGACAATATACTATAACTGGGAAGATTGTTAATATCATAAAGAATTCTTATGACCGAATATACTCAAAGTGGTGCATAAAGAACAGCTGACAGACATTCCAAGTAAGGACCGGAGTCAAACAAAGCTGTTTTCTCTCTTTCATTCTTTTGGTAGTTGACTGGATTATGAAGACCTCCACATCTCAAGAGAAGTATGGAATACAATGGACAGGTTGGACGCAACTAAACGATTTGGAGTTTGCAAGTGGCCTAGCTCTTCTATCCCATACACATAAACAAGTGCACACGAAGACAGCCAGTGTAGCAGCACCTTTTATCTGCAGCAGTAGGTCTCGACAAGGGAAAAAGCAAGATCTTCAAATAGAACACCACGAGCACCAATCCAATCACAGTTGATGGAGAAGCTCTGGAAAAGGTTGAAAATTTCACGTGCCTGGTCATTATTATCTATGAACGAGGAAGATATGATGCAAATGCGAATGAAAGGACAGCATTCCTACAGTTGAACAACATATGGAACTCGAAATAACTATCAACCAATATCAAAGTCACAATCTTTAATACAAACGTCAAGACAGTTCTACTGTACGGAGAAGAAACTTGCAGAACGACTACCACACCATCATCAAAAAAGACGAGTATTTTTAAGAAATGTCTATGCAAGATACTGAATTTCCGTTGACCGGATACCATCAGCAACAGTCTGTTGTGGGAGAGAGAAAATCAGCTTTCAGCTGAAGAGGAAATTAGGAAAATATAATATTACTATATAAGACTACCCATAATCTAGCTATTATGAAACATCAAGATAAGAGGTAGCCGTGCACTTATAACATAGATCTAGATCATCTCAGTCAATTTACGATGATCATCATTTATTTTCATACAGTTTTTTTAATAGGTAGGGGAAAAAACAAGGAAACAACCGACAAAGGGTCTAAGTAAGCTTCAAATTAACTACTCATTCCACCTTTAGGAAGATATTATTCTAGCCAACGGTCATGAAATAATCAGTCATTTCTTGAAATACATTCAATGAATTTATAATTGGTGTACTATGAAAGTTCATAAGTAAAAAACATATAGATTAATTACTTACACTCATCAATTCTAATTCAGCCTCAGTACTTTCACCTAATAAATATGTCCCAATCATTTCTTCTAATAATATTGTATTGTTCCTTAAAGCTTCCATTTCACTAGTTCTTTGACTTACTTTTTCCATACGTACTTGATCCTTTAAAATAAGTGTGTAATAGACACATAAATAAATAAATAGATACTTTCAACAAATGGTGAAATCAATGTAAATAATTCCACAAAATAAGAAAACACTATTTGCCTACTGATTTAATTTATGAGTAGTTAATGAACGTCAATAACAACAAAATGTACGGTTCGTTAGAGCAATGAGAAATTCCTGAAAAGATCAATTACATTTCACAACAAACTGTTTAGTTACATAATTTACTAATTAGTCAGTCACTATCAACACTGAACTGGATAGAAGATTATGGGTTGGTACAGGTCCCCTACTTCATAGATATTAGTATAATAATAAGTGATCTTCGATATTTAGAACACTAAATCAGTCAGTCAGTCAGCCAGCTACAACGTAGGACCAGGCACATATATACATCGGTCCAAGTTGCCATACCTCATTAACACAACAAGATCAACACCAAATTCATAAAAGTAGTTAATTCAGAGGTGGTAATATATAAAAGAAAGATTGCAATAAGGATATAGTACAGGAAGAAATTAGTTCGTAAAAAAGAAAGATATGAAGCAATTTTAATCTCAGAGGTTAGAGGAAGACAGAGAATGTATACACTGACGCCATTGTGATCGATTCTGAGCCATGTCATCCAGAGTCTCCAACTATTGATTACGATAGTCACGTGGACCCCAACCAAGTAATCTGCATCTACCAAACTGGCTAACACTAGAAGTTAGTGACTTCAAGGACTAATGCCACGTTGTGGTTTGGCCTCCTCTAACATTCTTCCGACCATCCTCTAACAATAGTCAGCATTGCGCGTCGTGCTAGTCGGTGTTCAGGTACATGTAACACGTGACCGAACCATCCCAGTCGATGAAGATTCATAACCTCATCAACTGATTTACCATCATTTCCTAATACCTAGCGTCTAACCTCACTATTACTTACCCGGTGATCCCAGCAGACGCCAGCAATATTTCTAAGGCATCTGTGGTCAAATACTAGTAGCTTACGAGTATCTTCTACTCTTAATGGCCATGCTTCGCTATCCTTAGTTCAGGTGTTGACGCAGACCAGTCCTGAAGCAGCAGCTTGCATTTAGAGGGAGAGAAGCGCATTCCAAACATTCTGGCATTGTTGCTTAGTGCTACCAAAAGACTGCATTTTATCAGCGTCTTCACGAAACAGGACTATATCATCTGCGTATTCTAAGTCGATCAATGTAACATCACTAGTTATCTTGATCACTGAGTTATCTTGTATTACTCGATCATACACTATTTGAGTGATTTAATCGATTAAATGTAGTTGTACGACAAGTAACGAGAAACAAATAGATACTTTGACATCATCACTTTAACGAAGCAAAAATTTATAGATCAATCTCCAAATTCATTTTCATTTGAACTAATAAGGATATATGATGTAAATTGTTACAAATTGTCACATAAGAACTATTTTGAATCGCAATTAGGATTAATAACTTTGACCCGGCTACTAGACATAAGTGATGATGATATTACATACAGGTCAGACAGAGTCAACAATAATGTACTCAATAAAAAATTATATTAAGTAAGAATACAATATACATGTAAGCGCTTTACATATCAGTATACACTCTCCAGAAAAGAGTTGATTGATAATGCTATGAGTGTTTATCAACTGGAGAGGTATATATATATGTATATGGATAACTACCGCGTTACTCCTAAATTACAGTACTGTCTACTACAGAAGTAGGTTCAGAAAAGGATAAAAGAGGTGAAACTAGGATACGACATGAGTTCACCAAATCATTAATTAAAGGTCTAAGCCATGTGTCAGTACATTTAGGTATCCTATTTCAGTTTTGAGCAATAGCTGTAATCTGTGTTGAAGGTTTTATGTGACATGATTCTGTATTAAAAACAATCATGAGAGTCAAGCTTGACAGACTATTTTCTAGAATTGTTCAGCTTTTGATAATCGTAAATTTTCGAGTTTAGAAACCGGTTAACAAGTTGGTATCACATGAGTTATGTATATGAGGCTTTACCAATATTATCAAAACCTCCATTCAAATGATTTACATTCATATATTAAGTGAATGGAATGGTATCATCTTATTCCAAAAATCGAAATACCCATCTTTCTTTTAATACAATGAAATTAAAATAAGTAGACTATTCATATCAACGAACTCACTTCTTCAACTATACTCTTGATAAGCGCATTCGCTTCACGTAGATCAGCTGGATTACGACTACGAAGTAATTGGGTTAAACGCTAAAAAAAAAGAAGTTTAAAAGTCATTTTATTTAGTTATAAATTTAAGCGTAGTAAATTGATTCAATCATTTGATTCTTAATTGTTAGGTTGTAAATATGAATCACGCTAAATCTATTTCATTTTTGAGCACTCAAATTGGTGTCAATAAACTTCGCAAAACATTAGTTAATACGATACTTGACTAATTGGAAATGTGTCAACTTCATAAGTCTAAAACATGACTGGACTATTCCCGATTAAATACACATTCACAAGCGTTATTATTATTATTATGGAATTAAATGGTTTTATGTTTTAGAATGATAAGTTTTATTCTAACAATGAAAGTGGAGGTGAGAACTAACAACTATCGAAAACAAGGGCTATAGATTTTGGACAACCATTAAAAGAGCTGACCAATACACAGTTCAATAATATTATATACAAATATAACTCAATGAAGAAAAAACTAATCAATGAACTATCTATGGGAGATATCGTTACTTTCAGTCAAAGAGATATTATGATAGAAATTCTATTATGATAGCAGAGAATGAAACAGTAGTGCAAAAGTTTTAGCAACCATTATGAGAACAGTGTCAGACAATCAGCTACAATATAGGATCAGGCACATATATGTATCGGTCCAAGTTGACACGCTTCACTAGCACAAAAAGATGAACACAAAATTCATAGAAGCAGTTAATTCAATGGTAGAAATGTAAAATATAGATTGCATATGAGGATATAAAACAGGAAGAAGGGATTAGTTCGTAGAAAGATAGATATAAAACAATTTTAATCTCAGAGGTTAGAGGAAGACAGAGAATGTATACACTGACGCCATTGTGATCGATTCTGAGCCATGTCATCCAGAGTCTCCAACTATTGATTACGATAGTCACGTGGACCCCAACCAAGTAATCTGCATCTACCAAACTGGCTAACACTACAAGTTAGTGACTTCAAGGACTAATGCCACGTTGTGGTTTGGCCGCCTCTAACATTCTTTCAACCGTCCCCACCATTCATCAGTATTGCGCGTCGTGCTAGTCGGTGTTCAGGCATACGTAACACGTGATCGAACCATATTAATCGATGAAGATTTACAACCTCATCAATTGATTTACCATTATTCAATATGGAAACTCAAAACCAGGTGAATTGAATATTGAGTTATTGAAACATCTATTTTTTCTGGTTGAAAAATATGGTTATATATCTGCTTATTACTTTGGAAACAATTTAATAAATGTTTCGTCACATGTTGTAAAACCTACATGAGAACTAAATATTTAACATATTTTATTATCCTGATAGTTGTGGGATTTTTTTTCAACTCAATCAAAAGATCATTGTGGAGAAGAAGAAGATTGTAAGAAATAAAACAAATCCCGCAAGACTTATCGATTTTCAATGTAAGCAAAATCAAAAAGAGGGTTGAACAGTAGACAAACTAGGGATGGAACAATTGTGCCAAGGTTGTATTTGGTTTAGTAATATGTGAAAATTTCTTTTTTTATGTGAGCCGTATTTTCCAATCTAAATAATTACCTTCAAAAGAAAAGGTTTACCTCAGTATTTTTGAGAAAAAATTAGCCTACATTTCGCGCTAGTAAGACGGTTTCAGTCGGAAGAAGGAAGAAAGGCACGGTATTTATTAAATTGAAGAATATATAAAACAAGTTAAAGGTCCCACCGTCTAACTAATGTTGCCAAAGTAGGATCGTTTTGTAGGCGGAGGTGGTATCAAGTCCAAAAACTAGGCTTAACAGTCATGTCTTGATTAACCAGGAAATGAGCAAACTATAAGCTCATTTCCTCCGACCAGTCGACATTTCATTATGTTTATTTTGGGCTTGTTTTCTGTACAGAAGTACGTTATTTCATTGTAGAAAAACCTATTCATCTGGCTAATGATTTTGATCGTAACATCAAAATATTCAAAGCTTTAAGTAAGTGATACGGCCCGTAAGCAGCCATCACTCGGTCACATCACATTATTGTGCTTATCTATCGATTACCATTCTAGTCATTAGCTTTAAAAATCGAACTTTTTGTCATTTTAGTTATTAAAAGCTTCCACCATGACAACTTTTTTTCACAAATAACACTTACCTCTGATTTTTTGTTACGTTCAAAAATATTTTGCCTATTTTCAGCGGCTGAAGAGCCTGAGCGACAAATCTGCAAGCAAAGAGAACGAAACGAAAATATTACATAAGTAAAAAAGAGATAATGTACCGTACGTTACTCTTTATATTAGAAATAAAGTGTCACTAGACGCTTAAATGCAGCTTGGGAACAGGTAATCTAATAAAACCAAGCAAGTTTTGATCCTGGCTACGGATCTGTTGACCAAACCTTTACCCATAGGTAGATCCTAGAAAACAGATGCCGCCGTCCAAATGTAATCATATTCCCCCACCTAGAGACAGCATTCAACTCTGTTGGCTGAGGAGTCCTGGTACGACGGATATAAGCCTGTAAGAATTTTACTCAAATACTATTCGTCGACTGAGATTTTGTGACGAAGAGTAATTTGAAATAGCCACATCATGTGGTATATGCCAGGGTAGCTCACTATCTCCACTTTTAGTTAATTCTGTTATACATATTATGCCATAAATTATCGACTCAAAAATCCAATTAATTGGTTTATGATACCTAACACCTAACCAGTTCTCGTGTCACTCAAATAAATCGATTCAAAATACGAGTCGTGAAGTCATATCTGATACAAATATATACCGGTTCTAACCTTTACAAATCTCACAATCATCTCACAGTTACAAGTCAAAGGAGGTAAAGTAATGACGTCAGAAGTAGTTGTAAACTAAAAATAAACAGAAATATATTGGGAAAAACAAATGAAATTGGAGCACGGAAAATATGAAGTCATCCAATGTCTGGCGCTTTAATCCGGCCGGTGGACACTGTGAGTTCATCTAGGGGAGTTGAGAAACTCTGATTCCGAACCAATGGTGAACATGGGCTCCGGTATCCTGAAGGAACAAATGGCGTATGAACCAATTGTTGGTCACCGGCTACCATGGGACTGCATCTCCTCAAGATGCTCCACTGCCTTGTGGGTCAGACCTTTAGGTCAAAGGCTCCGAGTGTGGTCCCCTTAAGAAAACCACCGGCTTTGATTCGGGCACCCGGGCAGTATCACAGCCCACACATAAATTAGAATGAAATGAAAATATTTAATAGAAATTCTATTGTTGTTTCAATTAAAATTCATACAACTCATAACCATTTGATAACATTATTTTTTTATTTTTTATATACTACGTCACTTATATACTCTCTTCTATTTCCACCCTTTGTATCCTTATTTTTCAACTTATACAGCAGCTCGCCTATGGTGGAAACTCTTTAGACGACTCTGTGTTCGATCATCGTTGTCTCCGAAGGATTGCTGACATCCAGTGGCAACACCATGTTAGTAATGCAGTGGTTCGGCATCGTGTGTTTGGGCGCAGAGAGAATAATACAATTGGTGTCACCATCTCGAAACACCGACTTCAGTGGCTTGGATATGTTCTATGAATGTCGTCCCAGAGGATTCCATGTCGTGCATTATTTGCCGACTCTGAGACTGGTTGGAAAAAGTGGAGAGGTGGTCAGTGTATGACATGGTGTTGTAGTATGAAAGAAAGCTGCTGGCTTCTATTGGTCCTTCTCAACTCCCTGGGTGGGTTCCGAGAGACGGTGCAACACAGTGGCTAGAGACGTTATCAGGTATGGCTCAGAATAGAAACCAGTGTTGATCCTGCAGTAACCTTCGTTTACTTTCTTTATAAAAAGTGGTTGTATCTTCCTTAACTGAAAGATTTCTTCTGGTTGTATCTTTCCGCTTCCCCTATTATTATCATTATTATTATGACACTAACTTACACTAATCTGGTCGTTATTGTTCCTCGTGTTACGTATGCCTGAAGACCGATTACCACGACGTGCAATGCTAACCGGTGTTCGGGATGATTGAAAGAAAGTAAGGGGCGGCCAAACCAAAACGTGGCATCAGTGCCTGAAGTCACTAACTTCTAGTCTGAGCCATGTTGGTAGATGCAGACTACTTGGTTGGGGTCCGCGTGACTATCGTAACCAATGGTTGGAGACTCTTGGTGACATGGCTCAGAATCGATCACAATGGCGTCGGTGTATACACTTCCTGTCTTCCCTTAAACTAAGAGACTAAAATCGCTTCATATCTTTCTTTCTACGAACCAATTCTTTCTTCTTGTACTATATCTCTATATGCAATCTTTCTCTTACATATTACTACCTTTGACCTAACCATTGCTATGAATCCAGTGTTCATCTTGTTGTGCTGATGCGGTATGGCAACCTGGACAGATGCATATATGTGCCTGGTCCTACGTTGTAGCTGACTGACTGACTGTTCCTCTTTTTTACGCTCTTCACCTTCCTTTTTTTCTTTCCCCATTCTCATTGTTTTGTGTGGAGCATATATATTTGGTGCCTCCTTATACCAATGTTTATGTTTTCAAACAATCGAACGTTAATTCAGTTAACTAATTTACCAAGCTACAGTTCATACTGCTTAGCTTTAAGCTGGACTTCCTGTCCAATGAAGATACCCAAGAATCCAGACAGAAAAAGGTGGATCATATATTTAAATCTTAAATCCTATATGGAATAACTTGATCATGTCAAGGTTAAGATCATCTAATTAAAAGCAATCATATTGCTTAGAGAGAATCTTAAGTGAATAACGTTCAACATTATCGATAATCTTATCTCCTAGAACAGTACCATGTTGATACATGCACAAAAATTCACTAAATGACACACACACACGTCAGCTATTCCAGACAAATGTGAAATCCCATCACAATTGTCACTACTTTATACTGTTATATTGATAAGTCCTACTTATTTTAACAATAATACATCTGAATGAATGAAGAAGAAAAAGAAGGTCAATATTATTGAATTAATAAGACATAAAAACTATAAAAGTCGTCGAATATCTTACGAACAAATTGTTTGTCAAAAAAAAATCAGTTAGAATATTGTCAATAAATTAGTTCCACACCTTTACCGTACTAGTAATCATTTTACCAATTTTAAACATTTTACAAAATATTTGTTTAGGAAGATATAGTATATATAGTTTATTTTTAAAAATTGTATTTAACATATTCCTTGAAGGAAATGAACAAAGTTATTACCATGAGCAATAACAATTCGAAATATAACTGATACTTTGACAATACTTTCCAATCACCCAATTCAACGTTGAGTTGAAACTGTCATTGAGTCAGTTTTATTTAGTGCAGAATCTAGCGTATGCACTGGTATAATTTCTCTTATTACAACCCAGCTATTCCTATTGCTTGGTATTCTTGGACATCAATTTACTCGATAAGTCCCCAAATCAAAATACGGTTGAACAATCTTGCACGGAATGTGCTTTAAACCAATCTATATTCCGCTAACATACATCCATCAACCTAACTCGTCACACTGCTGAGGTTAAATTATCAAGGCGATTACTAACGTAGTAGAAGTACCAGTAGTATCAAGGATAGTAAAAAACGATTGGACAGAAAATATTATTCAGAAAAGAATGGATTCCCGGAATAAAAGGTATGAAGTAGTTTTAAAACTCAGGATCTAAAGAGTGAATACATCTGTACTCTTGAGGAAGAACCTAAGTTACATCACATTTCACCAATCATTAATTACGATAATCACGCGCAAACCAACTAAATAGTCTGAACCTAGCTAAGTGGATGCTGTTAGTAATGAAGAGATCCGGCAATGTATGTTTTGAAGCAGAAACGATAATTCAATCGGTGTCACCATCTTCAAACATCGACTACGGTGTCTTGGATATGTACTAAGAATGTCGCACATTATTTACTGACGCTGAGACTGATTGGGAAAAGTGATGTGGTCAGTGTCGGACATGCTGTCGTAGTTCAAATGACAGCTGTACAGGACTGGCTTCTGTTGATCCTTAACGACTTCCTAGTTGGGGTCCTAGAGATCGTGCAACACCGGCTTTAAATGTTATTAGAAATAGCTCAGAATAGAAGCCAGTGGTAAACCTGCTTTAACTTGTTTTTACTTTCTTCACATAAGTGAGAGGAACTTTAATTGAAATTCTTCCCGGTTGTATTTTTCCCAAATGAACTGCTTCTCTAATTATTATTATCATTTCATTCCCCTACACTAACTTCTATTCGCTTTTGTCCATTTTTCTATTTTACTGACCATCCTTTCTCTATCCCTCCACCTTGTTTTTATTGTGTGGCACATAAATTTTGGTAGCCCTTGTACCAATACTTTCGTCTGAACGAATAAATAATAGACACATATAACTGAATAATAGTAACCTACAAATATCCTAGATTCCCAATGACCATGTTACACGCTAATAAAACAGACCAGAACGAATTGCCGAGCAATAAACTCGTCTTTTGATTGACGGACAAATACTTTGATTACGCCACAAGTGGTGCACGTTGGCAAAAGTCAATCAAGCTTTCTAATTCCGCGCCACATTTTGTCAGACACTAGCCCATCTGGGCTGAAGAGACTCCCAAGATAAGTCGAGCGGTCGATAAGCCCAACTACTTCACTCCTTACCAATAATTTGAGAGCTGAGCCAGGCCGGTCATAAAACAATGTTTTACATTTGAATGGAGAGAATGAGGTCCCAAACATCCATACATTGTTGTCTCATATTGTCAAAAGACCGCATTTTTCTAGTATTCACCAGAAAACTACATCATTTGAATATTCTAAGTCAACAAGTGAATATCCTGGAAAAACATCAATACCTAAAAACCTAGATGATAGTGTTATCGCTAAAAGCATTTCTATGACGAATTCGGGTCAAGATGGGGAAAGTGAGGGTTCCCCCTGAACGCCACATGAAGTAATTACTTCTGATGACAGTTTGTGATAAGTTCTGACTAGACCAGTACTGTTTGAGTCAGTACACGGCTGAATAAACCCCCTGGACTCCACCCTTAGTAAGATAGGTGCGTAACGTTTGTTCACTGAATTATGAGTTGCAAACCACTTTGCCTATTTTGATTTAAGTATTTAGGAACTATCACCAGGCAACGCGTATTGGGGCTGAGTTAATCGCATGAAGACAGATTTCATTGCTGATGGTCGATTCCCAATACTTTGTCTCATATCACAAACAATCCAATAATTTTATATTACGATTTCAGTTTGAAAGATAGTGAATATTACCTCTGAAACGGAGTCAGTAGAAACTATCTGACTTGCAGTTATAATACCTTCTCGAACAAGCATATTGTATGCCTCAGCAAACTTCGGTTCATTTGGTGAGAAATCACGTTGCCAATTATGAAGCAACTGAGCACATTTGTTTTTTACACATGAAGATGTCTGGTCACCAAGATACTAAAAAGTAAAAAAACCAGAAGTTGTAGAAATGTGAAATGTGTACTGACTGAAATTTTAGTTATAAACAAAGGGAATTAAAAACGCAAAAGTTCGCAGTATTTAAAGCCATATAATAAAGTATAAAAGAACACATGTTAAACCAGATGATAGTTTACACTGAAAGTTAACGATAAACGAAAGTAGGGGTCGTTTATATTATCAAATATTATAACAGCACACGGAAGGGAATTGAACAGAAACAATCGAAAAATATACGGAGAACGTCGGATAATGTCAAATAAAACAGTTGATCTTGAAGCATAGATGAAACTAAAACTTATAGAACGAGACAAAGTGAACTGCAATCCAGTACGACTAACCGTAAGAAGACAATCGAACATTACAAGTGCCGTAATTCAGCAGAATATAAAGGTCTCTCATATCAGTCAGGACGTTTTATCCGCATTTAATTCAACAGTTTTTAAAAGACTTTCACATGAGAGAAGCAGTCAACCTACAAAACTATTGAAGTAATAATAAAGACGGATTCGGACAAAAATATTTCACAGAACTTATTCACTAGTTCTAGTGTTAGGTGGGCTTATTATTGCTGTTTGTAAAAGAACTGGCGAAAAATATCATATCACTTTAAGAACAAATGGAAATTAAGGCTGAAATTTTACTACAACTGACTAAGAAAGGACAATAACATGGAAGAAGCTTCAGGATGTTCAGACCGACACATGGGAAAAATAGTGCGACCTATGACTGCTGGTCTCTCACACGGCAAATTTTATAAAAATTTAGTAATTTTCAACTTTACCTTGGGCGAAAGAACTTTGATTAGTTCGTTGAGAAACTTGAACTTTCCGAGTTCGGATATAAATGTTGGACCACAACGCTTGGATAAAAACTCTAACAGCTAAAACTTATAAAAGAGCAATAACTATTACCATTAAAGAGCTAAGAGCTTCTTTTTCATGTGGAGACTTAATTTTATGGGCAAGAAGTCGAAGAGTAAAGATTGGACCATTAGGTTGAGTATCAATCAGCTTTGCAATTTCATTCACGGTGTCAGAGTCATACTGATCTGATATCGGGTTTGTAGCTTTACCTACAATAAAGTTTTGCGTAAATAGAAACACTCGATACTAACTTAATAACTTCTCCAGCTCATTCATTACCACTAGTCTTTTTACAAGAGCCGCACTAACTCAAATTATCCGCTGACCTTTCAGAACCCAAACCTCAACCTTTGAACTTTCAGTCTGGAAACAGTAAACTGGTTGTACTTTGGACGCTTCATTCCAATAATATGATGACGTTCATCACTAAAAATAAGTATTGTTTTTGTCTGAATCCTCCATAGTTATTAAATGATAAAAGCACTAGGAAGTAGTAAGAAAACACGAAGCTACTCCTTAAAACGTCAATGGAGTATTTATTGCATCAAAGAAGATTTGTTCGAAGTTAACTTAATTCATTTCATCTGCGGTCTGAAATTTTCTTCAAACCCGTTTTGTCTTACCCTTTTTAGTTGATTATCACACTAGTGAGGTTCAAAATAGAGATTAATCCACGAAAGTCCCAAAGTAAGTCAATATTTAACCCCAGCGTAGTTGAAAAAAGTTTGATCTCGTCAAGCATTGTGAGCGATTTGCTTGAATCAATCGACTTTAATCCAAAAAAACAAAGAAAATTTCCTAGTAGATGACAGGGAGAAAACGACAACAATACTTTCAAAGGAGTCAAATCCGTTTCTATTCTAATTATCTGCAATTTGAAGGAGTCTAGAGAAAGTGACCCCGCTCAAAGGCACGTACACGACTTCGATTCAGTGTTGACTTTATCATCCAAAATATGCTGGAAGAGGTTTGAGGGATGCATAACACTGAAGTAATAAGACTAAGTGGGTTGGATCTGAGACACGACCGAGAAGAATCCTGAAGTTCTAACTGAGAAATTACGAAGAAAGAGACGTTATAATGAATAACGCAAAAGATCTCTAAATTTGAATATTCGTATTCTATCACATTGGGAACCGAATCAAATGGAAAAATGCCTTTACTAAATTAAAAAACTCGGGAGCGAGAAGGCAAAACAAACATTACCACTGAGGGTTTTTGGGGTAAAAAGTCTCTGGGGTTGGTGTTCCCGAGACTTGTGTGGGAAAAATAAGTGATTCTCATGACACCTTCAGTGGGTGCTACACAAGCGCTGGTATTATTAGAAATGAAACGTCCGAGTAAATTTTTATGGTAGATGAATTAAGTGCCGATATAACTGTTATCACAAAAACGTGGATTTGAGCAAAAATAGACTGCTTCCCACTTATTTCGAGCTACATCTGTAATAGAAGTGATAGAATTAAAAATCAAGTGGGAGGTGACATAATATTGTGTTACAGTCTATTTACGCGTACAGTCGAGCACATTAGACGCGCATGACAGTGGTACGTATGAAGTAGCTTGTTGTACAATGAAATCTGGACACGGATTAGCGGTTATAGGAGGGATACAACGTAGTTCACCATGGTTAGAGCCGTACAACTCCTGAAAGACACATAATAGCCGTACATGCCCAAAAAAGATTGTTTTCGTACGTTAAATGAAGGATAAATAGTAGTGATGGTATTCCTCCATTACTATTGGGCGACAATTCAAATATACCAGCTCAGCCAAACCTGGTCAGCGGAGTTTACTCTACGGGTGTTGTAAATAATACTTATCATAACGACACTATCGACATACTAGCTATAGGGCCTGTACATTTAAATGAGGAAGCTATTCGTCAATTGATCACTAACCTTAGACCCATTTAGACCTGGGGTACTGAAAGGTGACAACCGTAATTGCTGTCATATTTCACAAACATTATTTCACGACCACTCACCACACTATTCAACATATTCCATTCCTACAGTCAACAGCCAAGAGATTGGTCTTATGTTTAAATGTGGAAAGAGACAAATTGTGTCTAACTACTGACCTGTCAGCCTGACCGGCATGAAAATTAAGTTAAATGAAAAAAATTAATCGTGTTGAGTTAGTGAGTCACATAGAATCATACGATCATCTAACTTCCGAGCAACCTAAGATTCAAAATTAGTGTTATATCCCAACGAAGAATAAATGGACGTTAGATGCTAGGAGCTATTCTTAGGGTGTTGTTGCAGGCATATACTTGATGGATAACTGTTAAGTAACTATAATATATACATTTATATTACCTTTACCATTATATTCCATTTTACCTAATAACTATTATTATACGATTTGCTGATCTTAAGTTTTCCCCACTTTATTAAACACAGACCCCAACAATTACAGCTACATTTTATCCTAGGCTTGCATAATTGCTTTTTTTATTTTATGGTTTGTTGAGGTCTGATTTGTTTGTATATAAACTCATACAGTGTAAGCTGAGTTTGTTTTTGTAATACTTTGGGTGGATTGGTTAAGAGTTGACCGTAAACGTTTACGTAGGCATCATAACATTATAGCTTAAGTATTCACTCACTTCCTTACTTTGTATAGGAATTGTATTTCCTGATATTTAATGTTGAAAATCTCTGTGTATTCGAAATAATAACCTCGATTTCAACTACGTCTTCCAAGGTTTAAAACTAAATAACTACTCAATAAAACATTTGTTACATGTTCTAGACTCAAACAGATAGATCTGGGCGGGAAGAACAGATAAGGACTAAGAGTTGAAACTAGGTTCCTCGTAGTGGTTGACGCGTCGTTGGTTTGGCACAGTGCAAAGGTTACACAAGTCATATTTTAATTGGCGATCTGTTCACACGATAATTCACAGGGCGAAACTCATAACAATAAACATCTATGTTTAACGAACTAACTTGTTTCAAGAGAGAATTAAACAATATCACAAACAGTTGTCTGTCTCTTTATATGATATTCATAGATTTTAGCGGAGCATTTTATAAGGTTTATCATTTGGGTTAAACACAGAAGCTCCCAAGCTCCGGAATAACAGGTGCTGTATAGGAATTGATATGACACTTCCTTTGAGGCCGACAACTTAGAGTGGAAGTAAGTGGAACATTATCTGCATGAGGGCCGGTCGGAAATGGCGAACCCAAGGCACCATCTCAGATCCCCTAACATTCCTTCTCTACTCCAACGACTTATCGCGACCACTTAAGTCATCACCATTATGGTTTGTATATGTCAAAATCTATAGAACAACAAGTGGTGAGGCTGATAGTTGTCTCCAAACTGACCTGGACGACTTAGTTATACGGTCGCAAAGTTGGGATTTAGAAATTAATTTTAGGAAGAGCGTGCTCATGCACATGGAGCACGGTAATAATTATAAGTATACCATCAATGGCATCTCGCTTCTGTGTGTGCAAATACATAAAGACTTGAGGGTTGTAGTTAGTCACGACTTGGAAACAACTGCGCATTGGGACGCAGCAGCCGCAAAAGGCTTTCGAAAGTTATGGTCACTGCTGCAAGCATTCAAATACCCTGAAAAGGAGACGTTTGAAATTTTATATCTCACCTATGTAAGACCACACCTAGAGAACTGTACCCCAGCAGCCAATTTATGTCATATTAAACAAACCAGCACACTGCAAAAATTAGTAGAGGACCTTTCGAAAGTTCCTAATGATTAGCACTTAAAACACACAAACCTTTCCACCTTATCATATCGTAAAACGCGGGATGAACTTATATTGGCAATGCGAATCTTTAATAACGATTTGGGTCTAATCCCTTTGCTCTGTCCAGCAGTAATCATCTCCAAAAACATAGCAAGAAGGTTTGAAACCCGTGATAAATGAGATTATAACTTACGGACGTACCAATCAGATTCACGATGATAGGTTTCAAATTTTGTGGCGAAATTCATCTAAACGTATGCCTGACTAGCGTTTGGGTATTTTAGCTCATGTCGGTTAGTGGTGAGAACCCCGAATCTAGCACTTAACCCTAACTATCAACTGTTAATCATAATTCTAATTCCTCACAGAGATTTATAACCCTAGGAAGTAGGTTAACATTCTCTAGGTCACTTTAGCATCGCTCAAAGGTCGTCCGTAAACTATGCTCTCATTCACGTACTATCAGCCCCACCAGTGAACATTTCCAAGGAGAAGCTGGACCACACTTGAAAAAGCTTCGAGGATTAATAAAGGACAGCCGGCCTGTCAATTTCGTTACTCGGTATTCGCAATATGGTGAGGGCTGAATTTTGATACGTCGTAGGGTACGAAACTTCGGCTTACAGAAAAGTTTGTAGATCCTTTAATTTGTTCGAAAAATATGGATTTGAATTCCTACACGAGCCGGCCTACAAACATCATGCTTTTAGTTAAACTGATTACCACTCGACCGCAGACAGCTGATGTTTCTCTTCAACCTGATTTAAGATTTCGTTCACATGTTTTGTACACCGCAACTCATCACTCCAACCTGACGAAACTGAATACAAAGAATCCCAAAAAGTCTTTCATCATAAGGTCCAGTACTATAAAACTGATAAGAACGGAAGTAAAGATAAAATTGGAGTGGATTAACTAAAGGTCAGTTACTATGAGCGTAAAACCTTTGTTAATCTCACGCCACAAGATCAAACGATACAGCCTTCAAAACTCCGAAGCCCTCCCCAAAGGTGTACGGTCATGAGGAGACGCACCTGGTACCTGAAAATCAGCCGGACACGACGTGGTGGGGGGAGGGCTTAAGGTCTCTAGAGAGGCTACGACGTTTAGGACATTCTACAAGGATACTAATTGTTATCTAATTTCCTGTGTTTTACCATAAATTTGTCGCATTTTTAACTTCTGCCGCATCGAAAAAGTAATAGCAGATTTTTTAAAAATGTATTTATCCACATATTATTAAGAAACAAATAAAGGTACATTGACATGCATATCCATGTGTTTATTGTTTTTTTTTAAAAATTCCTCAAAATAAATTTTAGACATAACATGTAGACCCATCTCTTAAAGAATGAATAGATTTTACATACGATTTCCATTCTAGTTTATAACACATCAGTTTGAACATCTTTATATCTCAAATTTATTAGAATTCAACAGTTTCTTCTCAATTAGGTATTACCTTCCCTTAAAATTGACAGTCTTAAACGCTTTTTTCTCATAGACTGTGGTTAGCTACCCATCCTTACCTTTCAAATCAACATATCT